AGAGGCAATGTTTATTGAAATTCATATCAGTGAAAAGTACTGAGAAATTACTTTTGATACATAAGGTTTCATCAGATCTTGCCGGTTAATAAGAAAATTACTAGAGAATTGAAATGTCTTGCAGAAATGTCCCCAGCTTCTTAAAATGACGTCTAACGTTCTAAGAATGCACGGTTTGGGGGACATACGGCAATGTACATTTCCTGTTTATTAATTTGTAAGAATTTTTTATTTGATATTTTACCTGCCGTTGCGTTGGCATATGACTCGCCTAATTCCCCAGATTCTTTCTATTTTAAAATAATTACTTCAATGGGATTATATGTAATTCTTTAAAAAAAAAACATATAAACACTGCACGTTAACAATTCATATTGACGTCGTTTTGACGTTACAATGTTAAGTAGCAATTCCTGACGTTGCATCATTATATATTTCAGGAAACGTCGAGACGCACGTAACACAACCGTCATCCGTCAACGTCGCGGTGCAGTTACAGATGTCTTTCTATCAGGATTGTGCCATGAAGATGATGTTAGTTCGTAATCGTCAACCCCACCTCACATGAACGAGTGCTGTTGTTAACTTGTATGACATATTGTGGCGCTATTTGCGCATTTACTTTTATTTTAAACATCGTATGACATCTTGTGGCGCTATTTGCGCATTTGTGGCACTATTTGTGCATTTGTGGCGCTATTTGCGCATTGTGGCGCTATTTGCGCATTTACTTTGATTTTAAACATTGATAAATCAAATCTCAACATTTTTAATACCTGGATATGTTAATGGGATATTGGACATTGAACAATATTGTAATGATTTAACATTGATGACATTGTTGCCCATTCATTTGACATGGATACTATTTAAATGGGATATTGGTCCATTGTATCCATTTTGCGTGGCGTTGTGCATTCGCGCAATTTACCCAGTGCACAATATTTAGCCCATTTGGGGTCGCCACATTTGTTGTTGATTGTTGGGGAGACGACCCGGCGACTGCTCCCAAATTTGTCATATGTCACCGCGACCAGATACGCCAAACTTCAAATAAATCCTTTAAACTAATTAAGCGTTATTTTATATAATAACATCTGAGATAAATTGTTCAAAATGAAATACACTACTTTGTAACTATCGTACCAATCACATCAACGCACTTTAAAAAAATGTGAAAGGTATAATGTTTTCTGAAAGATTATCAGAGATGGTGACATATGATATCTGACACCAGTTTAGCAAAATGAAAATTCCTTCTTTTTTTTTTTTTTTTTTTTGACAGTGAACATAAATGGACTTTCAGTTTGTGAAGTACTTAAATTCAATGCACCAAGGACTTCCTAATGCTTTTTTCTGTATTTATAATTTTCTATTTTTTTTTTTCAAATATACATGATCATTAGGGGTACGAGAAATGCCACTAAATGGTTTTCAGTTTTTATATATGCTCATTGAAAATAATTTTCTCGTGCAATTTCATGGTCTTTTTATAGTTATTTTGGCCTTTTTTATACAGATATTTGAATAGTATTATTAAGAGGTACAAAAAAATTATCTATGCATTTTATGCATTTTTTTTATTTTTATTTTATTCAATTTTGTAAAGCTACTTTGGCCAACGTATAGTCAGTTGGTTATTGTTGCTTAGATCAGAGATATGGCCCCCGATCCTCTCTTATTTGAAGGAAAAGTGTGTGTTTTATTTATTTTATCTCAATGTTTTCATCTTTTTGCGTTAAGTTCAATTTATTGAGAGAAAGTATACCATTAGCATACCATTTATGTAATTACATATATTTGGATAGGGAAAATAAAGAATTAGGCTGGAGGACCTTCTACCTGCTTTCTCTTTCTCGATGAGGATATATCATTTCATCGGGTTTTTGAAAGAGAGATAACAAAATAATTCTTTCTACTACTAAAATCTAAGTCCAGAATTTTTGTTTTTTACATATTTTTTCAAGTGTGTTAAGTGTCCCCAAAGTAAAAATATTGATGTTCATACTTAATGCACTTTGAAAAAAATTCAAAGTGCGTTGATTTTGTCCCAAAGATAACGCACTTTGAATTTTTTTTTTTCAAAGTGCGTTGCCACAGCGTAATTTAAAGATATAGAAAAATGATCAAATTTTAAAACTAAAATTTATGAATCTTTTCTTTGCCAAATGATCGTTGGCAGCTTAAGATATCATTTTCCAAAACAAGAGGCCCATGGGCCACATCGTTCACCTGAGTAACATTGGTGATGCCGTTCTTTACCAGATCCCCCCCCCCTTGTAATGCCAAGTGTGGCCTCGTCCTACCCCCCCCCCCGTGTGGAAGGGGGTCACAATTTGAACAATTTGAAATCTACATTACTCCAGGATACTTCCACATAAGTTTCAACTTTTCTGGCCCAGTGGTTCTTGAGAAGGAGATTTTAAAACTTTTTCCTATATATTTATATGTAAAACTTCGATTCCCCATTGTGGCCCCACCCTAGCCCCGGGCGTCATGATTTGAACAATTTAGAATCTACACTACCCCAGGATGCTCCCACATACGTTTCAGCTTTTCTGGCCCACTGGTTCTTGAGAAGATTTTTAAAGTTTTTTCCTATATATTTCTATGTAAAACTTTGATTCCCTATTGTGGCCCCGCCCAACCCCCGGGTGTCATGATTTGAACAATTCAGAATCTACACTACACCAGGATGCTTCCACATAAGTTTCAGCTTTTCTGGCCCACTGGTCCTTGAGAAGAAGATTTTTTAAAGTTTTTACCTATATATATATATATCTATTTTAAAATTGGATTCCCTATTGTGGCCCCTCCCAACCCCAGGGGTCATGATTTGAACAATTTAGAATCTACACTATCCCAGGATGCTTCCACATAAGTTTCAGCTTTTCTGGCCCAGTGGTTCTTGAGAAGAAGATTTTATAATGATCTCACCCTATTTTTGTATTTTCTTGATTATCTCCCCTTGTGAAGGGTCTTGGCCCTTTATTTTAACAATTTAATTCCCCTTTACCTAAGGATGCTTTGTACTAAGATTGGTTAAAATTGGCCCAGTGGTTCTTCAGAAGAAGTCAAAAATGTGAAAAGTTAACAGACGGACGGATGGACAGACAGCTAGACAGACGGACGGACAGACGACAGACAAAATGTGATCAGAAAAGCTCACTTGAGCCTTTGGCTCAGGTGAGCTTAAAAAATAAGTTATAACTAGAACTCTCCAAAGAGGACAAAATACCCCCTGCTGGGTTTTTCAGAGGTGCCAAATCATGGATATTTTATGGATCTACATGTAAGAGAAGAGAGAAATACTAAAACATTTTTAGTGCAAATGTAATTGCTCATTATATTTTTTATGAATGAAACGAAGGTGCAGCCTAATTAAAAAAATAAAGACTAAAGATACAGACCAGACACAAATTATGAACTTCTTCTGTCAATGACCTTGAACTTGCATATATGACCTTGGTTAAAAGTCATGGCACAACCTCAGGTCATTAGCAATCTTTGTGTAAAATGGGAACTCACCACGTTTATCCATAAGATAGATATGGACCAGACATAAATTATGATTTTTTTTCTGTCTGTGTCCTTGAACTTGCACAAATGACCTGGATCAAAGTCATGACATACCCTCAGGCCATAAGCAATCTTTGTGTGAATGAGGAACCCTCCAATTTTATCCATAAGAAAGATATGGACCAGGCACTTATTATGAACTTTTTCCTTTCAGTGACCTTATACCTGCATAAATGACCTTGGGTCAAGGTCATGAAACACCCTCAAGACATAAGCAATTTTTGTGTTAAACAGGATTTTACCAACTTTTTCCATAAGAAGGATATGTACCAAACATGAATTACGAACTTTTTCTTTCAATGACCTTGAACTTGCACAGATGACCTTGCATCAAGGTCAAGACACACCCTTAGGTCATGAGGAATCTTTGTGTGAAATAGGAACTTACCAAGTTTATGCATAAGCAAGATATGGACTCTACACAAATTATGAAATTTTTCTTTCAGTGACTTTGAACTTGCCCAAATTATCTTGGGTCGAGGTCAGGAAATACCCTCAAGTCATAAACAATTAATCTTTGTGTGAAGTAGTAGATTCAAGTTTTTTTCATAATAAAGAAATGTACCAAACATGAATTATAAAATTTTTCTTCCAGTGACCTTGAACTTCCCCAAATGACCTTTAGTCAAGGTCATGACACACCCTTAGGTCATGAGCAATCTCTGTGTGAAATGGGAATTTACCAAGTTTATCCATAAGAAAGATATGGACCAGACACGTTTGCACAGACAGATGGACAGACAGACAAGCTGATTCCTATATACCCCCTCCCCAAACTTCGTTTGCAGGGGGTATAATTATGATGGTTAATTTGTTTATCCCCAAATCTCCTTAATGTATTTATTGTGAGAAGACATGTCCATGAAAATAAATATTTGTGACATTTTTACCTTGACCTTTGAGTTTGAACCACTTTCAAAAAAATTTTAAACTTGTACAAACTTTTAAACATTCAATACTATGGCCTTCATAGTTTACAAATATATTCCAGTTGACACTTGAAGGAATTCCTTTTGATACCAAAAATATTGACCTTGACCTTGGATTTTGACATTTTGAAAATCTTAAATATATTGGCCTTAATTTTTGAATAGTTGTTAGTAGTGCTTTTATATTTTACATGTGTCTCTATGACAAAGCTTAATACATGTAGTTAGTTTAATTAAAGTTTGACCTTGACATATTAGTTTACCCACATTTTAAACAAATGTTGACCTTGCCAAAAGTTTTGAATGGAAAGTGCTTTAATTTGAGCATTTATCAAGACAATTTCTTTCTTTGGGTAACAATATTAAATATCATCCCTTGACCTTGGTCCAGTTTGACTTGCATTCGAGAAAATTCATCCTCTGCCAAAAGCTGTCACACTTTGGTATCAGTGTTTCACAAACAAACAAGTACATGTACAAATTAAAACAAAGTTCTATCATTTATACTATATTTTGCATTTTACTAGTCCAAAATAGCTTCATTGCAAATATCTTTACACATATCTGAATTCAAAATACCCTGGAAAATATCACATTTCTAAACATATCTATACAGTATCAATTTCTAGTTCACAAAGAGTAGTCATGAGAGAACACTTTATCATAATTCATGTTTTTATCAATATCCATAGAGACACTAATTTGAATGCAAAAATATAATCACTATTTTGTATAACATACTTGAAAAATCTCATGATAAGAGAATGTATATATATAAAAGGAACAGGAGAGTATTATGCAATATACAATTCACATGATTAATTATGAAAAAGAACAGCATCTAAGTGAATAATACATGTATATATATATATATAAATGTACAAATTAGGAAAATAGGGTAAATTTTCAGGGTAGAATAATAAATGTTACGGAAAACGTTCTCAATTTAAGTCATAAAAATTATAGGTTATATATTATTATACTGGTTTGCTTATATGTAGCAATCTCATTATAAAATCTCAAATACTGAATCTTTTTAATAAATTGCTGACAATTTTATTTAGTGATTTGTTTCTTTACAAAAAAGTAATTTTATGGAATTATTTTAGATACAATTTAATTTGTTGTGTCTTTAACTATTTTATTATAATCTATGAAAACTGTCCAAAATGCCCTTCTGAAAATAGACAAGTACAAAATGTGTATGAAATTTTAAAATCACTAAACAAAATGAGTTATCATATAATACTACCATCAAATATCATGCTTTCAAACTTGTAGCACTACTTTGGTGAATTGTTCAGAGGGGGGAAAAATCGCTGAACATCTCAAACTGGGCACCCATTGAAGGCAATTGGAAGCAAAAAATACAACAAAAACAGGGACAAAAAAATTACAAAAATGAGAAAATTGTGTTCAAAAATGACAAAATTAACAGTGTCCAAATACAGATAAGAACATTTCAACAATTTCTTTGAATACAAGGTACAATTAAGAATGTCACCAAAACTATAACATTAAATATTATCTTATAAGAAAACCTATTTGGAGAGTTCTGACTTGTCCTCAACAATTATACCTGCTATATGTGTATATCCATATATACCCTATTTTTGTGTAGTTCTGATCGCTCCAGTTGTGGCCTCTGAGACTGGTGTATCTATAGCTGGAAGTTTGAGGCCCCCTGACGTTTGGTGGATTGTGAGTACTCGGAGTACGCTGCAACTCGCTCTTCTGGAACGGTCACCACCGGCTGAATGGGCATGGAGCGCTTGGACATGGTTTCAGCTGAGTATCCATTCAGGTCAGCTGTGGGGAAAAGATATTGGTCAATAAAAACATTTCTCTCATTGAACCAAATATACCTGCTATATGTGTATAGGTACCAATTTTTTCCCTTCATTTCTAAGTAAATTCTTAACCACCTCATTTTTTTTCAAATAATAAATAGCAATTGATCTTCAAAGCTCAAATCAAATTATTTCTTTAATTAAATGTAGAGGGCTTTTATCCGCCAATGATTGGGTTTGAATATGATTAGTACGTACAAACACTACCTTTGATTCATCTCCTTTATAAAACAGAAAATTATTGTCAGAGGAACTGAATGACTCAAAGAAATAAATTTCTACTTAAAAATGACTCCAAAGAAGATGGGTGGACAAGGCGGGCAAAGTGCCTATAGTGCGACAAACATGAAATGAAAAATAAAAACTTATTCATATCAAAATTTTCTCTGATATGTCATCTAACATTAATGTATATTTTATGTAAAATTTCTGCACTTTACAAAAATATAAAACTGAAATTATTTGCCTGTGAAATACATGTAGCATACACACGTACATTATTAAGAGAACAAAATGGATCATTTTCTCATACTTTAATAAAATTAGAACTAATAAAATTGGTTAAATTAATTAATAAAATTAAAAAAAGAATTCATCAAGTTCTTTTGTGAATTAATATTTCAAACTGTTCTTTTCAATACACATCAAGTTTAAATGGCTTTATAACATTTAATAGTGTTGTACATGTACATAATTATATGAGTTTGCATTAAATAAATTATAGGCATCAAAACCAAGGTGAGCTTAAAATTGTGAGCTACTCACATTTGGTTACAGCTCCAGTAGGCGTTAGATAATCCAGCTTAGCTCGCTTGGCAGCAAGGAAAAATGACAGGACAGATAGAATAGCAGCATCAAAAATTCCCAGAATGGCGAGGATGTAGGCCCAGCGAATGTTACAGGATCCCAACCGATACTCCCCAGACGAGGTCCCGCAGATATCCTGAACCTCCTGCTGGCTCCAACCACTGGGAAAGATAACACAGGCCAGGAACATAAACACCGCTACAAAGGAAAAAAGTCAGGAATATAAATATGGCTAAAAGATGAAAAGGCCAGGAACATTAAATAAGAACAATTAAAAGACAAGCAAGTCAAGAAAAAAGCAGGAAATAAAAAACATTTCTAAAAATGAAAATATATATCATATGACACATGCATGTCTGACTAACTAACATAGATTAAATTGTACAATAACTTCATTTTCAAGCAGTGTTTTAGTGTATTAGCATTAAACTGATGCTTGCTCCCCTTTACATTAATTATTTGCTCTTTGCAAGAACTATACTGTCAATTTGCAATCTGTAAAATTTAAGCAAACCTGAAGTGACTTGTGTATTCTCTTTATACCTTTCTACATATGGAAACAATTTGCCATTTTAGGGAAAATGAACGTCAAAATTTTGCAAAAGTTCATAGGGATGAAAACTTAGATACAATAATATGAACTGATTTAAAAAGAAATCACCATCAGCTCAGTGGATTTAAATCTCCCGCTACTAACAGTTTCGAGGTGTGATTCATTAGGCAATAATAGGTAATAACAGATCTAATTAATTTACCTGAAATAAGTTCCATGATGCCGCAGAAGTAGAAGACAAATGTTTTCTTGAAGCAGAAAAAGAGCAATAAAGCTGCAACAGTGATAAGCATAATAAGTGCTGAAACTCCGACGAAAAACGTTGTGGCTCTGAAGGAATCGTTCAGAATGGAATCGAAGGTGGTGAAAGAGCCACTGCACACGTAGATACCCTGGGAGTTATCAGGGTAGCAGTGCTGGAACACCCCCACATGGCCGAACCCCGGGCTGGTCGGGGTATCACCAATCCATTGGGGCTGAACAAAAGCCACGAGGTTCAATATACACCAAATGATGGATAGCAGTCCCCATAAAACACATATAGCGCGGTACTCCCTCATATACCGAAAATAATAGACCCTCGCCGTGTCTGGGTTGAATTTTTGATCCATCTTGGGCAGTAAGTGGATCCTCCTGGCTGGTCAGTTCAGAATTGGTTCCGGAGACTGGGTGAGGTCACTATAGCCGGTTTGGAACTTTAAGAATTGATTGATCTAAGAATAGATTCTCGTGTAGGCCGACTGGTCTAACAACTTTTTCTCTAATTATAGCGTGTGAATCGACCAATCGTGTCGCCGTAATTTACCTGTGGCACACCTGAATGAACACGTTTGTCAACTTTAGTAACACACGTGGGGTATTGTTTATGTTGTCAATACACTCGGTGCACAGCGCTTGAGTAGAATTTCTCTGGGTTTTTTTTCAACTCAGATATATTTTAGATAAAATAATTTTAAATCTGTTTTTATTTTGTAGTACATGTGGATTTTGTTTTTACATGCATGCTTGCATTTTTTATTTTTCATTTAAATTTTGAAAATATTCTATTTATAATTTCATATTTTCAGATTTGCCATTATTTTGACTTTGAGAAAAGGTGCATATATACATACATGTATGTATATTTAATTGCCACAACTCAACCTTCCATCAGAAGAATCGAAAAACTATAAGCTGAATGCATCTTTAATCTGGAACATATTAAGTTTTTTGTGAATGTAATTAAAATATATTTTTTAATCAATATCATTTAACAAGTCCTATAAAACTATGAATAATTTAATATGTGTACAAATGAAATATTGATGAACCACTACTATAATACACTGTACCTTTCTAAATTTTCATCTTCAGTAATTATTTTCTCTCTCTCTATTTATGAGCCCAGAGTCCTGCTCAAATTTCAATAATTTTAATTTCGTAATAGGTCTCTAAAACTATTTGGCTAAAAATTCCGCGTTCTTTCTCTCTGTTTTTAGGCGGGGGGGGGATGGGAAAAAAATTGCACATAGCCTGGGGGGGGGGGCAAGGGAAGAAGATTTTTGAAGATTTGTTCCAATATTACCTTTACTATTGAAAATGTCCATTGAAAGGTCCCCCCCCTTCTTACCACTGTGACAGTAAAGTGATATCAAGGAAATGTATTATTGTATGCAAAAAAAAATGGAAGTGAAAGGGAGTTGGCCTTGAAAAAAGTTGGCCACTACCCCCCCCCCCCCCCCCTTGAAATAGGATTTTAAAGTTTGGGCAAATTTAAATTTTATCCCCTTTTTTTTTTTTTTTTTTTAAAATTGTCAACTTACTTTTACAGGTAAGTATAAAAAAAAATTTCTCTGCCCCCCCCCCCCCCCGGACTTTCAAAAGCGATGCTACGTGCCTGGGGGAGGGGGTGCAGGCCAAGACGCGTATACATGATAATTCATTTTGGTGTGTGTTTAAAATGTCATTAATGATTATACCAAAAAATATGAAACCTCTTTGAGAAAAACATGAGCACGCTTATATTATCCAAATACACTGTACCTACAATTGTATGAGATGACTCGTGTCAGACTTCGTTGGGAAGGATTGCTTGTAATTTTTTTTACTCTGAAATTATTTTTCTAATAAAGTATGCACATTTTCCTTATAAGTTTAAAGGTATCTTGAATTCCAATAAAAAAAAAAGTAAAATTAAGACCCCCAACCCAACGAATTTTTTTGCTTGTTTGTTTCTTTTTTTTCTTGCCCAAACATTTTTATTTTGTTTCCTTTACCCCCCCCCCCCCATTTCACCCCTTTAGGAAAAGATGTTTTGTTTATACGTTCATGATGACTTTCAGAAAAATAAGAGAATCCTACTGAAGGATTACGCTTTTGTAGCCCAGTAAACCTGTTTTAAATTATATTTGTAAACCTTGTTCTGCTTGTGTTCACGCACTGATTTGATTTTAAAAGGAGTGAACATTAGTATTATAACAATATCACAGATTACCAGAGAGTGGGGGGTTCGGGGTGGCGTCCTGTGCACCTATACACTCGACCCCCATCCCTTCCTCAAATTTGTTTTTGTTTTTTTTATTTTTATGCCTCTTAAGTACTTGCCGACGCCCCTGCTCATTATATGGGTATTGCATTTTTATTTGTATTTAATTTATGCTTATTTACAAATCTGAACCATTCTTACTAATAAATACATGGACAATGTATGCATACTATCATAAGTCTCCCTCTCTCTCTCTCTCTCTCTCTCTCTCTCTCTCTCTCTCTCTCTCTCTCGTGATCTTAAAAGACTTGACCTTGCAAAATCTGAAGGTTCGCATCCTTGCAATCATTCAGTGCTTATATGTCAAATATCGAATTTGACAATTAATCTAGCTCAGAGTTATTTAATTAAACGAAATTTAATTCAAAACTACTTCAACAGTGCGCGGGCGAACAAATATCTCTGCGGTTTACAGACGTGCGAATACCAAGATTATGAAATTCTAGTAAACTTTCAAATCTAAAATGCAATGACACTTGATATATCAAGCATGCAGACTATAGTTCTCTTTACAAAAAGAATTCCATATTCTAAATGACATGGGTTTTTTTTACTGTAATGCTATGGAAATATTTTTCAAAAGAAATAGGCAAACAAAGCCTGCAAAATGCAGGTAGATTTAAATTTATAAAAGTCGTATTCATTTGTGAATTTTATAGTGTAAAAAGTAAAGTTCTTACTATTGAAAGGTATGAAATTATAACCAAAAAATATTTACCTTTGATAAATTCTATCAGCAAAAATCATTCTACGGTAAAAAAAATTATGAAAGGTGTGATATTCCTTGGGTTTGACAACTGTATTTTTTAAACACTGTATTGGGTTTAGGTGGTCCTTGCTCCATGTTTTTGTTTACCAGGGTACATGTACAGTTTTTTTTTTTTTTTTGAAATATATGTGTATGTTAAATGGAGTGAGACCCTCTCATATGGAAATATTTTTTAGCATATCGGATTGATCCTTTTTGCTCTATTTAGTGTATAAACAGGGTGTTACATCTGTATAAATGTCCGGTATATACTTTTTTTGGTAGACTAACACTTCGAATAAGATAAATGCAGTTTTGGGGGGATGTTCACATAAAATATACGATGACATTAAATAAATTATCATAGAAAATGTTATCATAAATGAGATCACATTTTTCAGTTTCAGAATTCACCTTCGACAATATTGCTCATGTTTTGTGTGGATTTGGTGTATACGGTAGCTGAGAAGCCACAACTGGAAGCGACAAGCGCATGCCACTGAAGTTGTCCACAGGGTGGGGGGTATATTTCTTAACCCCTAGATCCCCACAGACCACATGAAACATATTTTTCATATATTTCAGTATATACATGTAAAAACGATTTCATAATTGCTTCATTTCTATGTTCATTTATCAAATAAATTAAACTGCTTTCTTAGCCAGTGCAATATTTATAGAAGAACACGAGAAATTGTGTTAGTCTAGTATATAATTGCATTTTCAGGGTCAGTTTAATGCTTTTAAAGTGACTCGTACTTTATAATATCACTGCCTCATAGTAAACCGCATACAGAGTATTAAGGTTCGGGTCAACCTGATTCTCCACATAAAATTATCCCCGAGGAGTACCCACCTAGTCACTGTAATTTGCAAATTATCTCGGGCATCTTGACCCTTTGTTTTTTATTTAAAATTTATTTCTCGCCATGCACTTTGAAATGTGGGGTCGATGTGAAATATGTATTTTGATGAAGATATTTAATTGCTGTAAGAACGGTTCACTAATCTTTCTTCTATTCATAATAGACACATGTGCAGATTATGTGGAATATATAGAAACTATTTCATACATGCATTTAATCTTTTGTAAATCCTATACGGACTTGAAAATTAAGGCGAGCCATGCGAAAAGCAGGGAGCTTTTAAACCTAAATCTCGTGTATTTTAATGGTAAATGTAGACATTCAAATGCGCAGTCTTCAAAGGATAGCAGGTGTCTGGCTGTCTTACGAGTAAAATTTTTATTCCATGATGGTAACACTTAACAATTCAAAGAGGATGGTGCAGTTCTTTTGTTATTTTCCCTAAATGTGTAGCAGATTAAAAGAAGAATTTTTATGTTGCAGAAACTCATATTATTTTTTTTTCAAATCTAACAATATATAAAGCACAATGAGAAACAATATTTTTATGCTTCTTATTGACTTCCAATATGCCATTAAATGATGTGAAAATTAGTCTCACGGCAAAATGTATCAGATTTTCCGATCCCCATTGTTCTGAAAAAGTGCCTCCTTGAAACAAAATAATTTTGATATATAAACAAAGAGTCAGGAATTTTCTTCAAAACTGCCATTACCGATTTTTGTTTCAAAGAGGCACATTTTTGAAAAACGCAAAAATTGAATAAAAATTATTTTCCAAACGAAATGCAAAATGTGTACATTTAATAACACTAGAAAATCATCGTGTCCAAAATGGTCTAGTGGATATGCTGGTGAGTTTCCAACTAGTACTTTTACCAGAGAATGGGTTCGAATCCTGGAATGGATCATTTTTGCATATCTTTTTTCTTATTTTTTCCCCATATGTAACAGTAGTGCAATGAAATTATATATTTTTTGAAAGAGAGAGAATGCCAAGAAGTTAATTGAGTAATAACTATATATTAGATATGCAGAATAAAATTGTTTTCCTTGATATTCTGTAACTTAATTAAAACTAATACTTTATTTAGTTTTGTCTTGGAAAAGAAAGTTGCTGTATTGTTTAAATAATTCATTTGTTACCAGGCACGTAGCATAATTTTGATATATAAACAAAGGGGGGGAAGCCACAAAATTTTTTTTTACCTACCTGAAAAAGTTGACAAGCAAAACAAATGCAAAAAAAAAAATAGGAAAATTGCCCAAAGCCGTGGTCAGGTGGGGGGGGGGGGGTTTCGCAACACTACCAATTCCTTTCAATATCCATTTCTTAAGCTTACAGTACTATAATTTCCTTCATATTACTTTACTTTAGTATAAAGTGGGGGGGGGGGCAACCAGCCTTTCAATGAACATTTTCAATAGTAAAAGTATCGTTGGCAAAGTCCTCTACGTAGCCCCCCCCCCCCCCCCCCCGTTGCTACGTCCCTGGTTACATACTGTAGTTATTGCAATTTTGAATAAATCAGGTCCCAGGATCATGAAACAAACTTAGACTTAAGTCGAATTTTCAAATGCCTGTAAAATATTTATTAATTATCGAATTGAACTCAAAATTTGCAAGTAATGACATGTTTATGAATCAAAATTGAAACACATTTCAATTTTTGATCTGTTTGTTTTCTATAAAATTGAAATACAGCATGAAAATTTTGACTTAAACTTTTAGATTTTAAACTTTTCCCGGGGCCTTTTAATCACCAAGATTTGATTTAAAGTGTGATTATGGGAATCCAAAAATTTCATGAAAAATATTTTGATTATTTTCAGCATATCTTTCAAAATGCTGCTTTAGCCATTGTGCTTTTTGTTGTTCCAACTTTTTTCATGCAAAATGACCAAAGTGTTTTGTAGTATCAAGCAGGAAATACCCGCCGTAAACATAGTCCTATTTAGACATAACGAGGGTATTTAAATGTCCTTCTCGATATATAATCGCGAGTTTCTGCAACATCCTCTTTCTAAAATAATTTAGATTTTTTAGAATAATAGTTCAAATTTCTAAATTTCAAAAACTCAATTTTTTAGCCTTAACCCAAAATCATTTTTAGAAAATTGAATTGTTTTACGTGTTACATGGACCCATGACCGCCACAAAGTTTCAGGCACGTACCTGCAGCGTCGGGGGTGGGGGTGGGGGTGGGGGTGGGGTGGGGGTGACAGGTGAATTTAAAGTTTTATTCACCCACACATTTTTATGAGATTCAGACAGGCTCATAGGGAACAATTTCATTTTACGAGGGGGGGGGGTATCTTTTCAAAAATTCTAGGTATAAGCTATAAAAGATCAAATGTCATCAGGTGTTTCATTGTGAAGAGGCATTCATGCAATCAATATTTCAGCATGTTAGTCTAACGTATTGCATATTTGCATATACTAAGAAACTCTTAAGGGATGCAACTAAATCGCATACTGTGCGTTTTTTAAAAAAAAAAAATGAATTTTATACATGTCATTGTTGACAATATTATAAGTTGGGAGAGGGGGGAGGGGGACACACACCCATACCCTCGGTTTCACGGGCCTTGAGTATGTACCCTTTGAGTATGTACCCATGTATATTTCTATCAAGAAATGAATTAATGAATGAATACTAAATAAATAAATAAATAAATAAGTAAGATCTTACTTTGATAAATGAATTCAATATTAATAATATATCAGAAACAAGTATCGTATGTACATGAATCCCTTTTCGCAGGGACCTATATAGGTCCCTGCTTTTAGTTTTAACCATTTTTAAAAAATTCTTTTTATAAATTAATTTTTTTATATGAGATTTAATTCTTACTTGTTTCACCAATAAAAATGCACGTTGTTCCTATACATCTATGTTTTATGTTCTGAATTGATACATAAGTCTACATAATGTACATGTAATTCAAAATTATCCCTGAAATTATTCTGTTATTATAACTTTGAGAAGACCGATTGTTTTTAAACGCCTCAGAATTTATAAGTTAGAAAAAAAAGAAAGAATGATTATAATGGTCGACGGACTATAAAATTCAATGTTTAAATTGCAAAATCACGTTTATTTGCATCGGGATCGTTGTCTCAACAATACCAAACACAAACAGAGTTTTGGTGGGAAGTCCGAGTTGAGGTTTACATTTTGTCTTTGTCAGTTTGTGGGGTAAATTGATTTATTCAACTCACAAAACATGGAATCCCATAAAGAAGAAGCGGATACCAGTGAAGTTTCATTACTTAGAGAGTCATTACCTTGTAGAGAGTCGCAAATCAAGTTATTGTTCTCGTTATTTGGAGAGGTAAATTTGTTAAATATTTGCAGGGATTGCATGTACGTCTCTGATACATTGTACCAGGTTCAGCACTATATGTAGTTTTGGCTATATGTCTTTATTATAAACTATTCAGAATAGCATTTTTGTTGGTTGATTTGGATGTTTATTTGCTATATTAATAAGCCATTTGTCTTTCTATCTATATTATAATATAAGTTTTATGTTTGTACAAGTTAGAATCAACTGCCCAAATGTGTAATAATATAGAATACAGTATTTAAAAACCTTTTTCATAATAAGTGTAATATCTGAAAAGGGTAATATGTTGACGATGCAGCTGTTAGGGTTATTTTAATCTTAAATGACTTGCGCAACAAAGCAAGTATATGGGCATGCCGCAAGTATGTCAATTTTGTGCATTGGAACATTCTTTATTTGATAGCTTGATATTTGATTTATTGATATTTGGTTAAAATTTGATGTGGTTGTAATAAAGCAAATGTTAAATAAATTGGTCTTACATGTACTTTTTTTACATTGTAGAGGAGCAGCATGACTCTCCCAGCTTTATTTATTTATGGACACACAGCAACAGGAAAATCTGCTGTTGTTAATTCAGTTCTCAGGACCTGTATGGTAATAAAACAGAAATCAGCTGGAATAAAATTTTGAGAATTTTCTCTTTATCCCAGCTTCTTGATATAATACTTTCAATGCTAGCACAAAATTTGTACAGTGTACTGTAATGCTTTACCTTTGGCTGGTGATCAAAGCAACATTTTTCAATACTACTGGTTAGCAGTTTATCACAAATTTCCATCTAAAGTTTTCTTTATCATATGTTTATTCAATTTGAAAACATATTTATAACATTTCTTCCTTACAAGCCTCATTAACTGGAATAATCATTGAAAATTTACCTTCTCAGTTTTTAGGTTCTACAGTAAAGTATCCTCTGGTGAAAGGAAGCTAAACTACTTTGACTTATTTTCAGAGATGAATTTGATTCAGTTCGTTTGATATGGCTAAGTTTAACCTTACATGAATTTTTCTCAATATTTAACAGTTACCCCATGTGCTGGTGAATTGCGTGGAATGCTACAGTAGCAGGTTTCTGTATGAAGCAGTCCTGAATGGTCTATACACCAACAGAGGCTCCCAGAAACCAGATACACCCATCAAGTGTGAAAACATGAATGACTTTGTCCGTCTCTTTCGTCAAATATGCATGAGTCTAGATCTACATAATGAAACTGTGTACCTTGTAAGTATATATATGTAAATTTACACCAAATACAGGCTCAGAACTGAATGATACATTAAGAAATGCTTGCTGCTCTAGGCCATGTTGGAACTTTTTGGTGGCTTTTAGAATTTTGAGGGTCTATAGAATAAAAATAATACTGTACATATAAAGTGGTTCTTTATCATTCAATTTTCTTTTTAGGCCACACCAATTCAATTTCTTGTTCCTCGGACATTTGATGAAAAAAGTACAAGCAGGCTAGCGGTTAAATAATAATATTATTACTTTATTGTAGGCAAAAATTTTAGGAGAATAAATATATTTTTTTTCTGATTTGCAGAGTAAGTAGATTAAAAGTACGATAAATAGAGCGGAAATGGAACAGAAAACGGCACAGAATTCCCATGGTGCGGGGATTTTAAATTAATATTATTTGTATAGATTTGTTTAAATATGAGCGCGCGGGTCCGACAAACAAAAAATTTTATTGGTGTGGCCTTAGAAAAAAAATATCCAAATATTGTTATCATTTGTAAATACACTGTACACACCCAAAGCAATCATACATGTATCATAAAGTCAGTAATATAATCATGGTAATAATAATAATCATGTTTATAATTCATAATTCTTTTGCAAAAATAGTGCATTTGCAGTAGTTTTATTTTTTAAGTTTTAAACAGAAATTGCATGAGTTGTTTTCACAAGGTTTAGAAGTCATCCCAACATAATGATTGATATTTCAGGTCTTAGATAAAGCTGAACGGTTGAGGGAAATGGATGCCAACATTTTACCAGCATTTCTACGATTGCAAGAACTAGTAAATATCTTAGAAACCTTCTAAGCATGCAATAAATAATACCAATAATACTTCAGATGATGTTAAAGTATAATTGTACATGTACTCAATGGAAAATTATTGCCATTGAATTTTTGATTGCCAAACAAACCTCTAAAAGAAAATTAAAAAACTTGTACAATTTCTCTGCATATGAAAATTTTTTATTTTGCAAAGATAAGTGATATCATGTAGTAGATAAGTAGCTAAGAGTTGAATATGTGTCCTTTGTTTTTGCAGGTTGATGGAAATGTCTGTGTGATTTTGCTAACTGAGATTGTGTGGGAAAAGTTTCTCAGTGGAACAGGTTTTCCAGAGCCCTACATAATACATTTCCCTGACTACAACAAAGGTATCTTACTCTACATCACATACTAATCAATGCATATAAGGATATTTAAAGCAATATGAGCTGCAACTTTGATGTCAGAATTTTTTGTTGCAAACTTGTAAATAACTACTTGTATGAGAGAAAAAAAAATGTTAATAAACTTCTGTTATCCATATTTGCGATGGAAGAACTATTTATGAGCTTCCATTGAATCAAAATTACATTACTGTCGTCTTGTACAATAATGATTTCTTATATAAAACTGTATATTGGATTGTATATGGAAGTCTTTCTTCTGCTTTATTTTAGTCTAATTGATCGTAAAGTTTAAGTTACTTACAAATTTATCATAACACATTTTAACAGCATAAAATTTTCATAAAAGCAGCTAATATTGCTTTTTTGATTAAACAAAAACGGATGTGCATGGACATCCTTTGAAACACTGGAATTAAGCTCAATGTTTGAAAATTACATTTGTCATGATACTCTCTCAAAAAATTGTCTCTTTCCAAAGTTTCTCAAATTATATTTATCTGAAGTAGTCTGAAAAGAATGTTATTTGTCTTGTAGTGTGGAGTTTCAATTTTTTTTTTTTTGATGACTATTAAGTATTAGATTTTGTTGTAGGCATTTCAAGTATAAAGCTTTCATAAAAATAATGTAGAGTCATGTATTCTTGTACATGTTGTACTACATGTATAATGCATTTTGGAATTCAAAATTAAGCCCATGCAAATATACATGTAGATCATGGACTAGTCAGTGCCATTGTGTAATAACACTATGATCAGTGTTTGTAAAATATTATATTTTCTGTTGTACCAAACTTTTGTGAAACCTTATTTTTACGTAATAGTCATTAATGAATTTTTTATTTATTTATTTATTTATTATTATTTTTTTTTTATATAAATTATCATAATTGAATTATCTTTAAGAATACAAATACATGTATATGCAAGGTTCTGATTTTTTGTAGGACTCATAAAATTGCAATACAGTTAATTCTCGATAAACCGCCACCTTTTGTAATTTAGAAATCATGGCGGTATAACGAATTTGGCAATGAATTGAATTTTCCATCTTTTAGGAAATAAGACGCAGAGTTATTGTTCTTAGAAATACCATTTAGCGTTTCTATTCTTATCATTACATGTACATGTATACCGTAAATCTGGAAATTTTTACGTCGATTTTATTTTGCGAATCTTGGTCAAAATGCTGTTGATTAATTTTTACGTTTCAAAATTTTGCGAATGACAACTACTTTGTTTACATTTTCTTATTGTTGAAATATTTTTAAGAGAAATATTTTTGCGAATGCAATGAACACGCAAATTTGCTAAAAATTTATCTACAGCAAAAATTTCCAGATTTACGGTATATAAACATATTTCTAATTTTGAAAATACTTCATGTAATTTTTTTTATGTACAATTCCGTTAAAACAAAATATTCAGTTATGAAATAAAGACAAGTACATGTGTATGCATTTAAATCTGCACGTCTGATATTGAAAAAAAAGATGCTGGGTCGATCGTCGTGATATATTGCCTATAGTAAGGAAAATGAGTTCTTGAATAAATTCATTGTTTACGACATCATTGTTAACTTAATAAAACGTTCACAATTTCTGACTTATAATTATTTTTAAAGCAAACTTTGCATTGTTTTTAAAAGCAGAGATCATAAAAATAATATCATTATCGGCGTACTTTACAACGACCGCTTTCGTGGCGAAGCCTTGACTAAATGATTTTATTAAACAAAAAACAAAATTATTCTAACAGTTCATGTTAAAATAATTGTTTACTTAATTGCTTGTACCTTGACTGGCCTTGCATGCTTTACAACAGGGTTAGTGTCAACCAATTAGCCGCGCTTCACTGACCACATGCACCTGTGGCGGTATTATCGAGATAATTGACACCTAAAAATGGACGTTTGTTGTGAAAATAGGGTGGCGGATGGCAGTATGCGAATTTGGCATTATAAAGAGAATTCTATATACATGTAGCAGGAAAAATGTTCTTGGGAAATCATGGCGATATTGCGAAAATGGCGATGAATCGAATGGCGATAATTCGAGAATTGACTGTATATAACTACATGTAAGAGTAAGGAAGCACTAGTCCAGTCAGACAGCCTCCAAAAGATAGTGTTGGACTAGCTGCAGAACTGTAGCTCTCCGAAAAAAATATATATTGACAGACCGGAGAGCTACAGTGCCACCCATTGTAAAAACTGTATTTATTTATATATTTGTCTGAACAAGTAAAATATTAAGTACATTGTATATACATACAATGTAGGTTTGCTTGTCTAATTCCTGTAAGCTTCTCTTTTACAGACGAGTTGCTGAGAATCTTGATGAGATCTGCCCCCTCCGAGTTTTCTGCTGACTTTTATCAGATGTATCTCAGTCTTGTGCTCAGTGTTTTCCACATAGTTTGTCGCAATCTCACAGAACTTCAGCATTTGGTATGTACAGGTTCTTTATTGCTTGGCATCTTTAAGCATTAATTTGGATTATACCCATGATTAGAAGTGCCAGGTTAGGTCTCACTTCCCAGTCAAATTATTGTATCCTAAATGCAATTTCATAGTACTTTGTCTTTTCACAACAGATAAAGGCAAACAGTAAATCTAGTTCTTCAGACTTTTTCATCGATCTTTATTATGGATTGACAGAATTTCTTCAGTTTTTTGAGACACTTTTTTTTTTTTACATAATTATAAATTCAACAATGCATAAATATTAAGTTTCCAAAAAAATTACACTTAATTACCAAGCTGAATTAGCATTGTCACAGCCAAAAAAAAAAAAAATCTTAAAATCCATTTGGACTGGCTTATTTTGTCTTTTTGCCAGTCCAAATGATAAGCTATCTGAAAAAGTTTCCACAGCTTCAAAAGTTTGGTTAAAGTTGACCAGAATTGCCTTCGGGGCAACAGCATGTATAAATTTTTTTTTAATTTGAAATTGTTAAACAGGTCCATCAAGCATATTTTGTTTTATAGGCTGCCATTAATTTTAAGAAGTACATCGAGCCAATAAAAAATGGAGAAGGTAGGTGAAAATTTAAAAATATTTTCAGGGATAAACTTTTATTTCACTTTTATATTCAAGGAAGCATTTTCAAAACACTTTTGGGGTACCCTGTATCAAGCAAGTCCATGTAAATAATAATACAGTAAACCTGTATAACTTTGTTTTATGCATGTTTTTATGTATAGTTTTTAGTGTATCAATTTAGAAGATTTCTCTAAGCAGTATATATTTTATAAGGTACACATAATGGGTTAATTACCAGTACCATTTCTCATTGATCATGATTTATTGAAAATCTTTGTTTAACTTCAGCTTCCGAGAATGACAGTCGTAAATTGTGGAAAAATTTTGAACCTCATTTGAAAAAAGCTCTACAAACTGTGTATCTCAGAGAAGTTTCAAGGTAAATTATAGATACAGTATTTATTAGTAGTCCATGGAGGACTTCATAAAATTCTAGAATTTTAATGTCGTTATGTAGCTTTTTTACGTTTTTTACCAGTGGAGATTGAATAACTATTCACTATAAAATCTGTGGTACTGATTATTTTTTACATAGTGCATAATGAAATCTTTGTTGAAAAATTGTTGGAAACCATTTTGTTTGCAGAGATAAGTGAATGTGTGTTGAATTTTGAATTTGTCAAATTCAACTTTGTTAATGAAGTATGATGTTAAATATATGCTATAAAGGAAAATAAACTGGAGTAAGGCCAAAGTTTTTATTTTTTTTGGTTTACGATTTTTTGACACAAAAATATGCATTGGGTGGTCGAAAAATAAAAATAAAAATAATTTGGAACCTTGACATATTTTTTTCTTGAGTAGCATTGAAATGTATTCAAATAAAAAGGAAGACCTCTCGTTGCTCGCAATAAACACATAAGATTTTTCAACTTTTAAAATTATTTTTCTTACCATTCGGTTTTATGTCAAGAAAAATGAATCACACGTGAAATGACTCAAGAACAGAAATGTGAGTATCAGGCTCTGTTACTGTTGATGGTTTTAATTCTTTCGCGTTACAAGTCTGAGTTTCCATAATAGACACATTGCACTGGGACAAATATGGGTAAAATACTTGTGTCCAGGGACCAACCTAGACCCATGAAGGAAACTTCACTTCTCCCTCAAAGAAATTTTAAGGAGAAGTTTTGAAATTTAGGGAGACTTCTTGGCGCCTATTCGTGGCACACTTTAATCGTTATAAAACTGTTTCATTGTTTAAAACTTACATACATTTCAATAATTTTTCTGTATAAACATTGTATTTAAAATGATTAAAAAAGAGAAAAAGAATCTTAAAAGATATTTCCCCCAACTACAAGGTATATAAATATCTAGAAAAAATAATAAAACAACATTGACATTAAATAAAATTCACTTATTGTCAGATTAATGTTGTTTATCAAAACATTTTTTTCATTTCTTACATACAATGTAGTAGTAAAATTTCTCTTCTCATTAGATTTCCAGGCTTTTGGCATAGTCATAATTTTATTAATTTCTCTTCAAACTTGTTTTCAATATAAAATTCTTTTTCTAATAAAAGTTTTGATGCAAACCTGCATGCCGATTGAACAGCTACTTATGTTTATAAAATGTGTAACCTCTTAGAAAGCTAATAACTTCACAATTTATCAGTAAAAATATGTCTGTATTCACAGCATGAATTAATTATTTGACAATAATAAAGATCTAAAATCTTCTCCAACATCTTTGGCATGACATCGATAGCTGTCCAGCTGTTTTGCGTCTTGTTGTGTATAACTTGTAACGATGGACTTTTTCATACCCGGAAGTGAGTGTGACTAAAATGGGTAGCGAAACCCGGGCCGGGCCGGGATTTTCGATAACGAAAACCGGGTTTTTGATAATCACGAAATAAATACTCATTCTTTCTTCATGAAATTTACGGACATAGTTTATTATTCTAGGACTGGCCTTCGCTGAAAGTTTTAGGTCAAAATGTTATGTTTTTGAATGATTATCACCGATTGTCCTTTTCCAAGTGACTAAAATGGGTAGCGAGCCCGGATTACTCATTTTGGCGATTTAAACTTAATTTGGGCAGCTTATTTACAATTATTTCATTTGGATATTTGAAATTGAACTTAAACTACCTAAAACATTTAACTGTTGCAATAATAAATCACGATTATTGAAAATATACGCATTTTTTGAACACCCGGGATTGGTCTAAACCGGACACGTTCACCCGGGAAAAACCTTTTATTTCCGAAATACTTATCAGATAATGACATATAATTGAAATATAAATGACTCTTTTTTATTTGCATATTTATATTAATTATTTCCAATTTATTTCTTAGATGTATCTAGGTCAGGGACTGAAAAAAATCTTCATTCTTTCTGTGGCAATCCGGAATTATATAATTTGTCCCGGGCAAACGCGTCCGGTTTTGACCTGTCCCGGGTCTATGAAAAATGACAAAAACCCTAATAATTGACATTTAATTTCAAATTGATTGAACAATTTAAGTATTTAAAGATAATAAACAACCATTAAATGCAAATATCACAAACACTTTCGATGCATTAAGCTTAAAATCGCCAAAATGAGTAAACCGGGCTCGCTACCCATTTTAGTCACCTGGAAAAGGACAATCGGCGATAATCATCGAAAAACATAACATTTTGACTTAAAATTCTCAGCGTAGGCAAAACCTATACTTATAAACTATGTCTGTAAATTTCGTGAAGAAAGAATGAGTATTTATCTCGTAATTATCAAAAACCCGGCTCTCAGTTTTGAAATTCCCGGCCCGGCCCGGGTTTCGCTACCCATTTTAGTCGCACTCCCCGGAAGTAAAAAATCTAGAGGAGTTCCGACGGAGTATTCGACCCATGCATTAGCTGGTCATTGGCAATGTAGTTTGATAATCTGTATTTGTGGAGTTCATTGAATTTTAGTGAGAATTTGGGTTAATGAGTAAGATGTGTTGTAAACTTTGGTTTGGTCGAGAAAATTTCGAGTCTGACACATTATTTTTATTTTTGTAAATAGGGAAAAATAGGGTCGGCGGAATCGTAAACCAAGAGAAAAAAAAACTTTGGCCTAAATTAGCAAGTGTTTCAGACATATCCAGTAAATCTCTGAAAAAAAATTAAGACTTAAAAATTTGTGAAAATCTAAATATAAAAATGGTACACTTGTAGTATAGATTTATATAAATATTAAAGCTGTTATTTTTACATTTTTTTTGTCGCTGAATTTCAATGATTGCATATATGCATAATAATGGAATTATAATGACTCTACATATTTTTCAGCACTCAGTGGGAAAGAATGTTAGAAGAATCTGACATGGGAAAGATGATTACTCAACAAGGTCTGTTTACATGTTAGGTCTCATGTAAAAATTAATTTTTTAAAAAATATATACGATGCATTTAAATACTTCCTTAGTTCTTATAACATTCTCAAAACTAAATACGCTTTTAGAACCAAAATGAATGCCTAGTCCCATCTCTTTATTTCTAAAAGTCTGTGTTTTATACTTATATATTTACAGATTTGAATTGCATTTAGATTTTCTGAGATGTTCAGTGATTGTTATGTTTAACTCTTTCATGTTGGAGAAATTTTAAGTGAACTTAAGTGATTTATGTACATTTAATACTGGTATGCCATTATGTACATGAAAGGCTGAGTGTTATTTTTAAAATGATAATAAAGAATTATAATACTTTTTTTTGACAGGGCTGAGCTCCAGGACTCATGTGGAACTGCCTTACTATTCCAAGTATCTGCTTATAGCAGCCTATTTAGCCTCCTACAATCCAGCTAAATCAGACAAAAAGTTCTTCTCCAAGGTTTGTTTCTTTGTACTTTAGACACAATTTTATTGTGTATTGTACCATTAATGATTGAAAAAAAAAATGTAAAGGACACATTCTTAGTGAATCAGGGTAGTTCTGGCATAAATATCACTGTAATGACAGAATTTAATCCATTTAAGATAAAGAACACTTTTAATTTTAGTCCAAACAGTCTATGCATATCAAATTTTTTAAGCCCTGTATTCACACAATTTAAACAATAAAAAACTTTCTAATGGGGGCGGAAGTTTATTAATATAAACTTTTTTTGACAGAAATTGAAGATATTGAAGAAAGTCCATTCCTAAAAAAAAATTGAATCATTCACAGATCAAACTTGCATAAACGGCGCATCAACATGTATTGATGCACACTCCCAAAACATTTGTTTAGTGTGACTTTCCTCAATCACATTAAATCTTTGTTACATTTTAAAATTGGTTATATTTTAAAATTTTTCGAGCAAGATCTGATTTACATGTGAACCAGATTGGTCTGTCTTACTTCATTCATTGAAATGAGCTTTGTAATCTTTGAGTACCTTTGTTTATTTAGTTAGTTAATAGATTAGATACACGTTTTATCTGATGATGTTTTAATATGCTCCATTGAAAATTAGGATAAAAGGGGTCGAATTTCTTGAACTTTGTCAATCATGACTCTACAATGTCAGTTTTCATTTCTAGCCAGGAATAATAAAAGTCTCAATCATAAAATGCCATGTGTTTGAAGAATCAAAAGTTTTAATTGCTTTTAAACTTCTCCCAAGTACAAAGATTTTATGTACATGATGTTCAGTGTTTTTATATTGATCTTAACTTGCAGATTTAATTAGGATTGTTTGTATGTAAGGGCAAAATGCTTACGTCATAGCTACATGTATATTTATATATTCTTAGTACAGTGTAGTATGTCGTAATTTTTTTAAAAAAATTATTTTTTGGTTAACAAGAGCACAAATGCTTATTATACAATCAATTTTCGAATTCTTTTAAATTTATTTAAAATCTATATAATGTTAGCATTTATTATATTAGATTATTGAAAGAATGAATGAAAAGAATAGTAGGGGATTATTGAAGAGATAAATTGAGAGTGCAAAACGTTTGTAGACAATTTCTGATTAATATAATGATTTTATTATAATTTTAGCATTCAGACAAACAAAAGAAATCTAAAGTCATCAAGAAACAAGACAGAGTAAGTAAATCTGGAAATATAACATTTAAAACTATGACATTGAAAATATACTTGATCATAATTGACATATGTTAACTATTCTAAATCTTGCATTTGAAAGCATACAGTACAAATGTTAAGATCTTTACAGGAGCTAGCAGAAACAGTAGCATTAGCTAAGTATGCAATCCAATTTAAATGAAGTCAGCTCTACAAAATTGTCCTTAATCTTTGAGTGGTTTTGTCTGATCTATTTAGTTTATTACTCCACCCAAAATTAATTTACTAGTTACTCAGTATATAAATAAGATATGGAAAGAAAGGTCGACAGTAAGTCCTGAAGTTTGTATAGAAAATGTAAGGATACATTCATAAAGGTAAATTTCAATTTGAATATTAGTTGTTAGATTTAATTGAAAGGACCGAAAAATTAATGAAAAAAATAGTTTGGAAGATTCTTACTTTTGAAACCAATATAAATTGATGTTCTTTTAAAGGAATTATTGAAAATGAATATTTTTGGAAAAAGAAACTGTTGAAAGAAGTGAGTTGAATTTTTGCCGATTTCAGACAAATAACCATATGTTGGGTCCTAAGCCATTTCCAATGGACAGATTGATGGCCGTGTTTTATGCTATTGTAGAGGGAAAGGTTGCACCCACAGCAAACATCTTTATGCAGGTAGGAGAGTAAACATGCAAATTCCAGTATAGTAATAAAAAAAAAGCCAACACTTGATTTGAATATTTTGGGAACTTATATAATATATTTGAAGATTATTACAAAGAAAAAATTATCTTAGAAATAATGTGATTTACTTTGTTCAGTTAAGAAACTAGTAATCAACTTTTACACAAAATTCAATATAAAAGACTTATAAATAAAATATATTAATGTCAAGTAAAATAAAGCTTTTGAAATTTATTTTAAAAGTATGAAAAATTCCATTTTAACTTGCATTTTAATTAAAAAGACTAATTAAAGTTATCTTGTAAAATCAAGTATTTTAAAATATAATTATGTGTAATGGAACAATTTGAAACAAGAAATGACAACTAGTAATTCCTAAAACTTCATGCAGTTATGTTATGGTCTCTACTCTGCATATGTAATATATATAAATAAATTTTAATTTATATTAGACAGCTTCTAATTTCCTTGTAGATTACATCTTTAGTGTCCGTTCACTTGCTGGCTCAGGTGGCTGGAGATGACCAGATAGATGTACCTAAATATAAGTGTCTGGTCTCCTTGGAGTTCATTAAATCTGTAGCCAGGTGAGTATAGAGATAGTACCATGAGTAGTTCATTTCTTATAAATTATTATTTCTCACAGTAGTCAAGGGATATTTGGTTTACTCTGTGCCCCATAAACCAGATGGCACTGTGGGATTAAATTACAGTACAAGGGTTTTTATTTGAAGCAGAGTAAACCTTATCCATGGGCTAGTAATCTTTTCTTGAAAATAAATCAACGATAAGAAATGCAGCAATTTTATAATGACTTTTTAACTTAATAATTTTCCAAGTTAACCTTATCGTGTGATGAAAATTATCTAAAATTAACCACCATGTGCCCAGAAGATTTGAGTTCTTTAGATGCAATTTTTAAACTTTTTTCAATTTGCAAATAAATGTTTATAACTAAAGTTATTCATAAATATATCCAATTTTTATTAATTTGAAATTGTATCAATTACAAATAAGGATGTGAAAAACATAAGGCTATCCTTATTGTTGTCCGGAATGGTGCCAATTATGATTCTCTTTGATATAATGTCACATGCTGAAAAACTTATCAGGAAAAAAAGATCAAACATTTAGTAGATGTAAACTCTTTTTAAAAGTACTACTCTGGACCAGAGACATTATGAAGTACTTACTTGTTGACCTACTTAGGTGGCACTATTAACCTAGAAAATACTTTGACAAGACGGAAATTATTAAATAAAGTAAGACTGTAATTGGAGAGGTGCTTCAAAATCATGAAGTTTCTAAAGAGTGTCTGATTGATATATGGAATAAATTGTGTGTTTAGGGGTTTGAAGCTTTCGATTAATTTGGTTAATGTACTTTGAAAGCAAGAAGTATGGAAAAAAACTTTGATACAATATATATTTTGATTTGGGTACATATATCAAAAGCATTAAATTTGCATTTTATTTCATTGCTTCATAAAGCATGAAACTACAGGATAGCTTTCAAAGTGCATTAAGTGTAATGTATTATTTAAACTTGGAATATTTTTTGCTGGATTTGTTGGTTTCAAAATTTCATTAAAAGTATAGATGATCCTAATATCTTGTTAAATTTAATCTATACTCTCTTCAAATTGTAAGACTGAGTTTTATTCTTGTTGATAAGACCCATATGCTTCATCGTGAGTAAAATTGAACAAATTTAGTGGAGAATTACCTCTTCAAAGTGTGGATGCATTTTTTAATCCAGATTACCCTTTTGGCATGATTCAGCACTAGAAGAGAATAAAAACAGAACTGTAAAATCAATGAAGAAAACCTTTTGAGAAAGATACAAAGATATATTTGTACTAAAGTTATCTGTATTTTGAATTACATTTAGCTTCTCATTTGCATCATTATTTTCTTTCAGGACTGTGAATTTCGATGTTTTACGATATCTCTATGACTTTGTTTGATGAATTCATGTGACAATTCAGTGCAGTAACAATGCAAACAGCTTACATCAATAAACAAATCAGACGGAAGGACAAACACTGTGTTCAGTAACCTAATGAGTCCTGTGACAATGTGAAGTAGACAGTTCATTAAGGATTTGAATGTGCGTCTCTTTTTGAAAGAAAAAACAACAACCAAACAAATATTCTTATGAATTTTGAGCTGTGAAGTTTTTGAAGTGTGACAGCTAGAGTCGACTCTCAAGAAAATGAATATAATGTTTATGTCTAGGAGAACAAACAAGTGAAAAATCTTGAGTTGTTATTGAAATGACTCAGCCTATGAAAGGCATAAATATTTTACAAATTTTGACACCATGAAGTAAATATCAAACCATGTGATAGAAATAAATGCTCTGCATGTAAATGCACTTATGAAAATAAAAATTTACGCATTATTTTTTCAGTATTTTCTGCGCGTTTGCTTTATCTTTCACAAGAAAAGAAGGGATTTACGTAACTGAAAGAAATCAAATAGAACATGTTTCTATAAAGTACAAACAGTTACCATATCACCAATTTGTACTGAAATTTCGAGTGCCACACTTGTAAAAGTTGTGACGATTGGCGTAAAAAGATTATGAAATATAATTGAAGTAACGTATAATTAGCAGAGTAGTTTGTTTGGCAGTCACCAGCTGGAGTATATTGAGAAAGACAAAAAATGAGACATGATTCTTACCTACTAATGGAGACAATAATTTTCAGGTATGTTCAGAATCATTTTAGTTACGTTGAGGTTTTAAATCTGCGTAATATAGATCAGTTACCATCAATAAATCTCCCCATCACTAGGAATTAGAGGAAACAAAACACTCTGTTCCTATTGTGTAGGTAAGAAATGCTGGATCTTATCTCTTGAAAGCTTCTAATGACATTTTTAAGGATAATGACCATTGATCGATCTTTTAAAAACTAATCTGTGAACATAGCATAAATGCATTAAGATGCCTTGGGGGAGAAAGCATTCCTTGTCGAGGGGTCACATCGACTGGAAGCCCTTTGTATTGTTAAGGCAGACAGACCATTCTGTAGTAAAAATCAGTATAAAACAATTGGTATAAAACAATTTAGTCAAAGTACGATCCAGTGATAGATTATATTTGGTATCGAGGTAATTACATGTGTAATGAATGTAGAATTCATGAAATGCTGACTTTAAAGGAGGTTATCGAAATCCGTCTAACATCAACATCTAGTTGTCATTCTGTCTTGTTTAAAGAGTTGACAATGGAAAAGCTAAAGTCATCCTCGTTTGTCATACAATGTAGTTGTTGGTTGACCCCAACCGTCTTTAGTCGGTAAAACATCCAAATATGAAACAGATGAGGCAGACTCTATTGTGTCTTTCATTCCGAGTTCAACTGGATATAGTAAGCTGACAAATGCCACAACAAGTGTTTCTTCATCTCATGTAGACCTTTTAAAGTAAATCAAGCTTCATAGGTATACAAAATTTAAGGATAGTTTGTTGGAATACCTGGTCTTTAAAGACAGTGTTAAACAACTTCAAAGAGTCCTTCCAACATCCTTTTAATTTCAATTTCAGAGTACGTGTGTATAGAATAAGTGTGATATTGGTAACACGTTCAAGTTTAGTTTGATATTGGTAACGAATCACAAGATATGAAAATCTCCTAGTTCTACTATTATTAAGGAAACACTTTTCCTTGATATTAATGAGTCTACTTCGTGTGAAATTTATGGAGATAATGAACAAGTATATCGGCAGTCCCGTTTAAAGTCATCATTTCGTAAGTTCTATGGTCGATACAATGACCTTGTCAGCAAATACAATTTATCATTGAGTCAAATGCTGATTGACGTTTTTCAAACTAAATTTTAGTTCTTTATTTAAACACTGAATTGATGGATTTGTCCGTTCCGATCATGACAAGAACAAACGGCGGGTGTGACCGGTCGGCAGGGGATGCTCACTCCGCCATGGCACCTGATCCCACCTCTGATGTTTTTTAAGGTCCATGTTTGCTCTGCTCCTATTTTGTTTCGTTTATGGACTTTCGAACTTGAATATTTTTCGTTATCTCCATATATTTCATTGAAGCTCAGAAGTCCAATATAGAATACAAATCAGGAGCAAAACAAACACGGTCCTCCAAATCGTCAGAGGTTGGATAAGGCACCATGGATGACGAGCATTCCCTGCAACCGTCATCAGAAGAAAAAGGGTGTTTTAAAAATATAATTTACGAATTGGGTTTGAAAGTTACAACATTCAAATAACCAAAGGTGAGTTCGGTCTACCCTATCTATACTACTATTCCTAAACGTCATAAAACCTATACAAAGATAAACAGCAGGATCCACCATACGCTCTAACAAAACCCCATCTTTACACCTTAAAATTATTCACTACCCTAAAGGAGAAATTTCATCTCAAAAAAAGTACAGTGCAGGGAACTAATTTTGTTACATAAACCAGCATCAAGATCAGCATAAGTAGGATCAGGATAGAACTAGCATCAGCATTTAAAAAAACAGCATTACTTGGATCAGCATCAGCAAGCAAAGGATAGAACTAGCATTGACCAATGTGAAAACAGATAAAGGAAAGTCATTTAATACAAATAACAAATAAAAGTTACCCCAAAAATTAATTTCAATGGCTTAAAATAGCGATGCTGTTTTTGAATTATCCACTTCCGGCAGGATAATCCTACTTTCGGTAGCATTACTAGCATTGACCAAGTTTCAAACCAGCATCAGGATAAGGATCAAACCAGGATCAGGATAAGGATAACTAGCATCAAAATCAGCAAGCAAAGGAAGCATAAAAATCAGCAAGCATAGGAAGCACCAAAATCAGCATTGATGCTGTAACAAAATTATTTCCCTGCACTGTAACATCAAAACACGTGAAACCATTTTGAAGAGTAAAGATGGGGTTTGTTAGAGCGTATGGTGGAGTCAGCTGTGTATCTTTGTATAGGTTTTTATGAAGGATAGGAACAGTAGTATAGATAGGGTGTATCGAACTCACCTTTGGTTATTTGAATGTAACAACTTTCAAACCGAATTTGTAAATATATTTTAAAAACATCCTTTTTCTTCTGATGACGTATGCTTTTCGTCTTCTTCATGTTAAAAATTATTGAAAAAAATAAACATATATGCTTATATATATAATGATATAATGACAAACTGTTGTGCATTTGAATTTTAGATTGTTTTTATTGATGTTGACTTTTGATGTCACTGCTTCCTATCAACCATATGTTGCGCCGTTCTTCTTCATGTGTAATTACCATGGTAACGTAAACGAATTAGGAATAGAAAAAGGAGAAGTGGCCCTTAGTGTATCTATAGAGGGTAACCCAGATTTGTACATTCCTGGAAAACTTTATAATGGTGAGTACTTCAGTATGCAAAAACCATTTCAACGAAATACATGAGTGCATTTCTCTGTAAAGAAATGCTACTGAAGTAGTAGGCACAAGAACTGTTACAGTAATTGAGTACATATATGATGCAGTCTAGTAAAGGATGGCAATTGAATATGTAGAATTTTATTTTAAAACCAAATGCTGTGAGCTGTGTATTTGTTGTCCTAAAACAAAAAAGTTAGATGTTCAGGAATCAACAAAATAGTCTGGTACTTAAAACAACTTATCAAGGGTTTATCAGATACATAGTCCATGACTTGCAATATAACCTATAAATAAATACATAAAGTAAAGACCAGAAATATACCTGGACATTTTTTTTGCTCCTCGATTTTCAGCAGACAAGCTCAATTCATGTTTTGATGAGCAAAGACGACCCTTCCAAAAATCGTGAATTTTTTTGTATTCTTGTTCTGGTGCTTTTTGCATTTATTCTTTGAAAATCTTTATCTTTACCCCTTTGTATTTAGCTTACATACTAAGTTCATCGTTATGCAGAGCAAGCGTCTGGTTTAATTGCAGATCTGTTGATGTCTTGTTCATGGCAACTGAATCAAGGATTGTGGTGCTAGAAACGGCTTATTATCATGTTGAAAAATTCATATTATTTTTTTTTATGAAAGAAAGCTTTCTTTTAACATATAATGATTGATCACTGTCATACTGTAATTGATTAGTCATTACATATATATATATATATATATTTATATATTAATTAAATATACTATGTATATGTATATTTTGTAAAGTGCTTTTATAGCTTTTACTGGCAATCATGACGTAAAAAAGAAATAAATAAAAATGTGATAAAATATTTCCCGGATATATTTTTATATGAAATGTTGTATTTCGAAAAACAAGATAGGCCAATATTATAACAATATTATTTTTTCTCTTCCACTCGCACAGATAAATATTTTTCATCATTATCATGTTATAAATTCTTAAAATGTTAATAATACATGTATTGAGGTACTCAGACGACTGTCCAAGCTTACAAATCTCTTTAAATTTCTTAGCGAAAAATAATTTTAATTTTTAATGCACAGTAACTATCAGATCAACGGTGAATTTTGACGGATTTTTCCTTACGGGGCTTTACACACTTACATCAGAAGCCAAAGCTAGGATGCAAGGACTTGGTTTCCTAGGGAATACTGGATCTGGAAACAATTTAATGTGTTCAATCGTCCATTCCCACATAACCCGAGAACCTCAGCAACAGCTGTCATTTATGTGGATGGCGCCTCCTAGCGGAACAGGATGCGTTAGTTTTCTGTAAGACCAATATCATATCAATATTCTCACTATAAACGAAAACCCCTTATATGAATATTCTCCTCATATGAGGTTTTAGGTTTTAAGTAAACTCCTATGATGTATAAGTGTCAAATAAAATACATTATTCAATTGGTTTAAATTCAGGGCTACCGGAACATTACATTCACAATTATTGTTTAAAGACACAACAGTAATGCAGATGTGTGAGAAAGGAGGTAAGATTTTCTTTTAAGAAAAAAATGAATTAAAAATATTTTTTTTTTTAAATCATTAAAGTTTTATATTGGAAAGGAAGAGGTGTTTATTTAAATACTGTATTTACCAATTATGTAATGAAATTATAGAGCTTCAATAGGAAGTCACACTCAGTCGGTTGAAGAAATATAAATACAATACTTACATTTTAAGCTCCAACAACATCTCCCCTTAGACCAGAACTTGCCGTTCTTCATGGAAATGGCGTCATATTAAGGGATGATTTTGATTCATCGCCAGATGTCAACATGCTTATTTGGTATATATTTTTGTCGGAAATAATTGTTTTTAAGGTTAAAACCATTTAACCAAATGCGTTGAGGTTGTGTGTATCTGTTATGTTCTTGTGTAAATTAGTGGTGCAAGGTAAATATGAATATATTATGATGTTAAATTTGTGGTATAAGGTAAAATATTTTTTAAAAAGATTATGACTACAGTAATATACTGTAAAATCACATATTTTCGTGGGGTCAAATTTTTGTGGTTTGAGGAAAAAGTTTTGTTTCGTTGGGATTTGATTTCGTGGGTGAAGTACTGTGGATTAATGTGGAATAGAAATGTATGATAAATTTTGCATTTTGTAGTGAACATAAATTCGTGGGTCACTTCTTGCCACGAAAACAACGAAAATTAAACCCCAACGAAAATTTGTGATTTCACAGTATTAACTTACCTGATTTCTTTCCTGTTTTAGGCGGGAGACACTGGGAGTTAATATTAGTCGAGATTGTGGTCACATAATGTATGGAGATTCTAGTTGGCTGTGCCAACGTTATGGTGAAAGGAAACTGGTGATTTTTTTTTATTATACGATACATGAATAGCTAAATTTGAGACACAGATGTACAATTGTAATTCTATTGACACTGTGTTATTTTCTGTAGGTGACGGTACCAATGAATACAACTTCAGCTGCTGTCATACAGTTTGCTTTATGTAAGTCAGCTCTTTGTCCAAATTTTTAATTATTACGAAGTATTTTGTAAATATAATGGTTAAATTCTTCAACATAGAGTATACTAGCACGTATCGAATATACTTAAAGAAAATAATACAAACTTATAAGTTACCCTCCATGATTTTTTGGGAGAAAAATGCAAGTTATCAAAGTGAAACTTATTTTTTGTTTTCTGAATAGCGGCAGGAAGATGTCAAGTTTCGGGAACAACAGATTTTAATATCACAGTATCTTATGGACTACAGAATTGTACAATATGGACCACAATAGATTCTCTAAGGTAAACCATTATAATTCTGAACGAAATTCTATAGATAAGCGAATAAGATTTGGAACTTCACTGTCTTAATAGGATGTAAATCCTAAGTTTAATTGTTCTGTTATTGCTTCATTTTTGTTTTTTAACGTCTTTTCTTGTCTTTCCCCCTTTCATTTATACATAAGTGCAAGAAAAGTATCAAAATATGTATTCAAAGACAATTTGAAGAAGGGCTAACTATATTTTCAATTTTCTACAGAGAAAAAAAATATTTTTAAGCACTTGATTGTATACGCTAGTACATGTAATTTATTTCTCAAAAATACTTGAAGACACATGAAAGGACAAAACTTTTCATTACATAGGTAAGAATAACTTAGAAAAATAATTTTACACTTTAGTATACCGTCATCAGAAACAGAGGTCCACCTTGTAAACCTCCCAAAGGAAGCTAGAGGGGACAGAGCCTGTTTAAAGTGGGAACAACTGTCTAGTAAACCAAAACCAAAGACAACAACAACAACAACGACGATTGCAACAACCACCGAATCATTGACAACAATGGAAACAACAACTGTGCCATTTCCAACCTTGGAGACAACAGAAAACCTAACAAGCACAGCTTCAACGACAACTACTACAACAACAAAAAGACCTCGCACGATACGATGGGATATTTCTGACGAAGGGCAGCCAGACTTCAGTAGTTGTTGGGGAATTGACAATGTGTTGGTTGTCAATATAGCTGATAAACCCAGTCGCATTGAAGAAAATTTTGATCCAATTGACCCTAGCAATTGGCTTTTCTTTCCTGGAGGGAATATTAGGGTACATCTGTACTTTTGCACTTTTATAAAAAAAGAAGAAAGAAAAGGAAATTCTTTTCAATGCTGTCATTTCAATATGATTTTGAAAATTATTTTGAAATATTTGAGAATTTTTCACATGGCGTTTATTTTTTTCTTTTAGCAAAAGTGTCGATCTGAGGAAAATACTTTGTTCTTCAATATTGAAAACCAAACAGTTAATTACGCAGTAACACGTGATCTCGACCTATCAGTTTCTGATGTTACCCCGGATTTAATGCTAGAAGAACAGTTTGAATCAAAGAATCAACCAGGGTACGTTCTTTTAAAATTTTGTATCTTGACTCAAATGACTTTCAAAGAGATATTATTGCTGTTTACATATTTTGTTGGTTTTTTTTTAATCTCTAAAAGCATACATGTATTATGCTTAATTTTGATAGAGAAAAATGGGGAATTTTTGTAGCTAATAAAATTGAATTTTGGGAGATATTTTAATAGAATTAAATTTGAATGATCATTAAATCACCAATTTTTAGTAATATAAGAAGCACGATGCCCACATTCTTGAATGGATTCTTATTTTCAAGAACTGATAACCGAAACCAAAGATGGTGCCTTGAAGTTGTAGTAAGACATTGGACACTTATACTTTAAGACAGTTTGAAAGGGATATTTTTACAATGCCAGACACAAGATTGGAAAAAACCCCTAATGAAACCTTTCAATAAAACATATTATTTTGTCTCTTTCAGCTGGATGATTCGAGGAGGTCGGGTTGATGTTATTTGTGGTGTTCTCTATCATGCGAACTCGATGGTGTTCGATGGAGCGGGAGAACGGTGGGCCTGTACTCCGTATCTCGATACCAGATTGGCGGGAAATCTTAGGTTCTACTTTGGATTCGGTAGGTCGCGTAAAAACAATTTGAATAAAAACAAATTTCAAAATTCCTTTCAAGGAACTGCTAAATTTACATCAATGCCATTTATCTAATAGGCAGTGGTCGTTGCCAAGCCTTAGATTCTCCTGAAACAAACGTTGAGGTTTACATTGAGGACAAGCATGGACATAAACCGGTGTTACGAAATCTCACAAGTAGAGATTTTAAGGTAAACACTTAAAACTACTTTAAACTTCAAATGTAATCATTTATAAATGTATCCACTTCTTATGGTTTTCATGAAATTTGATTTGTACATGTACACCATACATCAACTAATAAAAATCATAATAGATTCATTTCTCCTTATCATTCAGGAGCCAAGATTAATATCAGTGCCTATAAACGGCAACCAAAGACAGTCTAAGGCGCGGATCTGCTGGGCACAGGAGCACCATCGGGGTGTAGATCTCGACGTGTGGGCAATTGATGGAGTACAGGTCTTACCACACTTTCCCCGAAGGTCTGATGTAAATAAAATGGTACAGTTCGATCTTAATTTGAACTGTGGAAAGAATGCAACTAGAAATGTGTAAGTGTGTATTTAAACAAAGTCATACAACCGAAGGACATGAACATGCATGGGCATACATACTTATTATTCATTAATTTAAATATAACTTATCTTTTTAAGCTGGAAAAAATACATTCGTTACTTTTTATTAATTTTAAAAGAATATTATACATTAAACCATCAGTTTAAAAAAAAAACATACTACATGTTGTGTAAGGCAAAAACGTTGTTTCAGCGTTGGTTTAGAAGCCTCTACAAATTTTGGGAAATCATGGTTCACAGTTCATGAACCGTGTCTCCATTACAACTGTGGCGGGAAGCATCAACCAGTGTCATCAGAATACGAGAGCGACGACTTTTTAAGGTAATATAGTTTACTTAATTCCTTTTTCAGCTGTTTTATGTCAGATTTTGAGATAATTATACGTTTTGCAGATTATTTATGGAATTTTCGGTACTCTTGTTTGGAAAACAACGAGAAAATTAAATAAACAACTGAATACTTTGACTTTTTGGTCGTCCTCGTTATTCATTTATCTGTTTGGTCAAATATATTTTTACCTTCTTTATTTTACATTGAAAGACCAATGCAATTATTTTTCATCAGCTTTGCTTGAAATCAAATCAAATCAAATAAAAATAGTAAAATAAAAACATACAGATTTTCGAAGATTTCGTATTGACATGTATTTATCGCCTTCAGTCAAGAATTCTTTAATTGGTAATTTTCACAGCTGGAAGAGAGTAACTTCTCCTCTCCCCTTCGCTGCTCTGGTACCTCATGTCAGATTTCGATGGAATGGTGAACACCAAGTTACGCCTAATTGGGCTTTAGACAATGGTAAGAACAGATTCTGAAGTACCTTCTTGGCTGACAGTTGGATAAAAATATGATATACACAGTTATTGGCTCAAATGTCGTAATAAAATGTTTACTAGTAATGTTTTAGAAACTACTGATTTAGAAATATTTACTATAACTAAATATTTAAATTCCTTTCCATATATAATTTTAAAATATGCTTTATTTCAGTATTTATTGGAGACTGTGAAAGCGGATGCCATGGAAATGGACAGTGCACAAGAACAGGATGTAGGTGAGAGATTTTACATTACTTGAAGGTACAGTAGTAGTTTTTTCTTCTTTAACACAAAGTACTACCAGTAAATAATTTACAGTATTGATGTCTAAATTCTTGTAACTAATTTCACTCAACGTTTCCTTTATACTGAACTCAGAAGAAAATGTTCTCTTAGACCCCTTTTATGACATTATTCTTCAACCTGTATCATATTCAACACCTTGTAGAACATGATGTGTCGAGAATAAGAGCATTATTTTTTTTAAGATGTTGCTTTCCACATTATTCTAGATATTCTTAAATCTTGAAGCTCTCATGTCCCTAATATATTAACATATCGTCGGGTAGAATAGTCCCCGCGTGTAGTGATCATTGTCACTACATTTTATCATCCATCCGCCTTTTGCAAAAACCATCTGATGTCGGGAGGATAATATATAGCAAAGTACATATACTTTGATAAGACGTGTATGAATAACAAGAAGGCATACAAGGTCAATTATTTAATAGTAAATTCATGTAAAAATATATAAACAAGGGGTTTAACTGTGTCCAGGTAAGAGATTCCAAAATCAGTACAATTCTCTATGGGCGTGTGCCCACAGCTTGAGTATATGGAGACACACATGTTGTACTGAACTCGTTCCAAACAAGACCAGACGGGCAAGACAAAACATAGGCGTCTCCGGCGATGTCACACTGGATGAATTTGGATGGGTCGGGATGTGAGAAAAACTGGGAGTTTCCAGTGGTGACAACAGCGTTTTTACAAGGATTTGTTGTGACTCCGGTACCTAAAAAAATTAAGTTGACGGTCTTACACCTTTTTTATATTGAAAAAAAAGATTACTAAGGATGTACTCTTTCTAAGTAGGAAAAATGTATTTATTAAATCTACTAACTTCTGCTTTAAGACCGAATTTAAAAAGAAAAATGAATAATCCAAAAGATATGGAAATTTTTTTTGTCGTTAGAATATTTAAAATATATGATTCAACAATGATTTTGATCGAAAGATTGTAAAAGGAAATATTGTAGAACATGACAACATACTTGGTAAAATGGCGGTGTTTGGTGTGGGTAATGGCTGACCGCTCTGGAAGCTGTAAACACATGAAAGACGTGTCTGATCCCACACCAGCAGGGAAGGACAAGTCAGCTGGTTGGCATTTCCCAACAGGTCACACTCAATGAATTTATGAGTGTCGCCAGCGATTGCGAAGTACAAGTTCCCGCGAGCGATGTTTTGCTGTGTGCAAGGGTTGCTGCCGAGAGCCACAGTTATTTGTCCCCCACCTGTTCCATGTGGAATAAAGTTCTGAAAAAAGTCAAAATAAGACGTAGTTAAACATGTTAAACGCGAGACAAAAGGGAAGGTCTCTCTAATTCACTTAAACTAGATACTATAAATGTATTATTTAGCGTGTACGATATTTGGCAGAAATTGATTTTTGAACAAATTAGCGTAAATTTGATTTAACGCATTTCTTAATGTTATTATTAATTTATATATGTGAAAGACATTTAGCGTTGTACTTGAATTAGCGGAAGTTTCTTACCGCCAAAAACGCTAAAAAGAATACACAGCCAAATGTAATAGCTTTACAGTATTGCAGTCAAAATATAGCACAAATTTTGCAATAACCTTGAGCGCGGGTATTTAGTGTAGTGTAGAATATGTCAAAAATTGAAAAAGAAGCGAACAATCACCCATTGCAAACGATGAGATATATAGCTTAAGCATTGAGAGTTGTTTCGTTTTTGTGCCTTTGTTTTGATTATTTTTTCTTGATGAATACAATTTTTCCTTGTTTAATTCAATGACTCTCTTTAATAAAAAAAAATTGAACGAAAATTAACTTTTTATCACCTTTGCAAGAAAAAGATCTTTTACATACTACAATTAAGCAAAGGAAGTGGGAAGAAATATTTTAAAATTTGAGAACAAAAATGTTCTTCAATATAATGTACTTACCCTTGACACACAGGATACAGTTGCAGGGTTATAAAGCTTTCCAGAGGGACACTGAATAATGTACATCTCTCCTAGAGCATTGCACTGAATGAATTTTGTGTTGTCGTTTGGATGAGGGTAGAACACTTGGCTGGTTGTCTTACTGGCAGTGCACGGGTTGGCGGCCTGAAAGTCTATGAACAGGAACAATATAGTTTTAATTTGATAAAATAATAAACTACAGTATATTAACTGTACTATTTGAATGATAAAGAATCGATAATTATCAACTTACTGCAGTGGTTCGTCCCGAGGTTGAGCTGTCGCTTTTCTGTAAAAGAGGAAAATCTAAAATTGTATTATTTGAAAATACTGCAATTCTGAATTTCCTTATCGTATTAACATCAAGTAAAAATGTCTAAAGATTTCTCAGAAATCTAAAACCTTAAAAAAATGACAACTGTTTAGAATTGTTAATACAAGAATGAGCACCTCTTCCTGGAGCAGCGCAAACAACCCCAACAACAACCAAAAAACAGAAAGCCTTCATTTTGTCCCGTCTGATTCCACTGTGACATAACTTGCCAAGACACGGGTATATATAGTACGTAAGGGTATGCCTCACCAGACAGTCAATAAAGAAAAAAAAGGCTTGATAATCTCAAAAGTTAAAAAAAAGTTCAGATATAGAGGGTTCTTATTTTTGGTTTTAGATAATGGAATAAGGAGTATTACGTAAATTCTGTACATTATGCAACACTTTGATTTATTTCTTGTTTTAAAAATATTTCATAATATTGCTGGCAATAGTTCTTTTTCTTATATTATAAAGGGAGTCATTACTTGACTTGAATTTTTCCAATAACAGATATGCATCTTGTAAAATCTATTTAAATGTTATTAACTTCGTATTGAAATATAAGCACTTTTTGCAAAGAATACTGGATGGAAAATATCCCTTTCTTTAGTATTTTGAGTTATTCCCTTCCAAAAATACATGACATGACGGTGAGTGAAAAGTTGCACAGATTTTCCCCTACAAAATCTGTCATCAGGAAGCAAAACAAAGAGGACGATGAAAGAGTTCACGATTTGGTAATTAAATGGTTTATGCCTCGACACCTTATGTTTAGGGATGTTGCCTTATCTACAAGGCTTCAAACTCCTGCTATATTTGTACAAGGTGTATTTGACAGCGC